CGGGCTCTGTGCTGAGAGCAGAGAGCCAGACGCAGGGCTGGAACTCAGGAGCTGTGAGATCCTGACCTGAGCCTAAGTCCAAAGGTTAACCGACTGAGCCACCCAGGCGCCCATAAATACACTTTTTTAAGTACAGTCTACCTCCCAACGTGGGGCTCAATCACATGACCCCAAGATCAAGAGTCTCCTCATACACGTCCCACTGAACCAGCCAAGAGCCCCTTAAATAAAACCTTTTAAATTTTTTTTTAAGGTTTATTCGTTTTTCAGAGGCAGAGCATGTGGGGGGAGGGGCAGGAGAGAGGGAGACAGAATCGGAAGCAGGCTCCAGGCTCTGAGCCATCAGCACAGAGCCCGACGCGGGGCTCGAACTCACGGACCGCGAGATCAATGCCTGAGCTGAAGTCGGACACTTAACAGACTGAGCCACCCAGGCGCCCCTTAATAGGTATTAAGGCGCCCCTTAGATAAATTTTTTTAAAAAATGGAGACGCCTGGGTGGCTCAGCAGTTGGTGGCTCAGTTGACTCTTGTCAGAGTTGACATCTCCTGTCTGCTCCCAGTGACACACAGGTGCGATTCCTATCAAAATCCCAGCAAGATTTTTTTTTTTGTAGATTTAGGGAAGATTGGTATAGCAGGCAGGCAGCTTAAGGGGCACGCAGACCTTCATGGGATGTCCCTGTTGTGTCCTCTCTGGACACACGCACTGCCACGCGGGCACCAGGCTCCTCCCTTTCTCACATCCAGACCTTTGCTTAGGCAGGTCCCTCCTCCCGGTGCGCCCTCTGCCCAGTCCCCGCTCAGCACTGAGAGCCTCCCAGTGGCTCCCTCCTCCCCAACTCCAGCGGGCCTCCCAGACTTCTTGGGGAGACCAGAGAGGCTGGGATTTCCCTAGGACCTGCCTGGCCCAGCACCCGCCCAGCACCTGGCAGGGGAGGGAGCTGGGGAGCTGACAGAAGAGAAAATTCCCCTGGAACCGGTTTCTCTGCTTCCTGGCCCAGCTGGGGCACCCACCCCGGGGAGAGGCCAAGGCCAAAGACCCGGGCCACCATGGCCTCAGCCCTAAGCCCACCCCGGGTCCCCAAACCCAAAGGCGCTCTACCTTCACACTACTATGAGAACTTTCTGGAGAAGAAGGGACCCTGTGACCGGGTAAGGCACTGCTGGGCTCCTAGGTGGCTGCACTCACCTCTCTGAGCCTGGATCTTCACACCTGGCCGAGGGGGCGGGGTGGGTAGTGGCTGGGGCCGGGCGCCTGCTGGGGGTGCTGGAAAAGGTTCTGCCCACCCTCTGCCTGTCTCTGACTCTGGTTTATCTCTTTCTCTGTGTCTCTCCCTGCCTGTCTGCCTCCCTCTGTCTCCCTCTTGGTCTCTCTTCTCTTTCTCTTGGATACAAACAGATCAGGGACTTCCCCCAGGAAGTGGAAAACCTTCTGGCTCCCAGGTCCCAGCCCCACACTAACCCTGAGCCTCAGCTGCGGGGGTGGGGGGGTCAAGGCCAGGAGAGGTAGCTGAGGGGGCCGCATCTGGCAGGACCAGAGACGGATGCAAGCCCAGTCCCTCCTTCCCTGAGGCACCCCACCCCCCACACTTGTCTCATCTTCTGCTACAACCCCAAACACCCACCCACTGAGTTCCCTGGCCACCCCCACCGCCACTGCAGATTGCGGTCCCCTCCTCCTTTCCTTGTGCCTCCAAGTGCCCACCCCCCACCGCCCCCCTCAGGCCTACACACCATCTAGGCCACAGGGGTCCCCACGTCTTCCTGACTCCCAGGCCTTGTGCAAGGGACTCTCCATCGTTGTGCCTTGGTTTTCTCTATTACACAATGGGTATAGTAGGGCCGTAACCATGGTTACTGGAGAAGGGGTCTGGGGTCCTGACTCCGCAAGCACCGTTCACTGGTATTAACTCACCCAATTCTTTCAGCGGCCTCTGCGGTAGGTTCCTCTTTATCGCCATTTCATGGGTGGGGAAACTGAGGCACGGAGAGCTTAAATACCTTGTGCAATGGCGTATAGTGGGTACACGACAAAGCAGGTCTGACCTGCTGAGTTTAATCACTTACTGCTCTGCTCCCAGGGCCGAGCACATGGTAAGTCCTCAGTAAATGTCAGTTAAATGTATCTACAGACAGATGGGTAGGTGGATGGATGGATATGTCGATGGTTGGACAGACATAGAGACGGATGGGTGGGTGGGTAGATAAGTGGATGAAGAGATGGATGGGCAGGCAGATGGACAGATGGACAGGTGGACTGATGATGGCTACTGGGCATCAATATGAAAACTATCCTCATTATCATTACGGACTAATGAAAGTACCGCCTCCTCCCGGAAGTCTTCCCGGATTTCCCAGTTGAAGGGCCTTTCTCCAGATCTCAAGGCCTAGGGTTTGTCCCTTTCGGGGTACTGATTACTCTTCCCTGGAAGATTTAGTATCTATGCTTTCTTTTTAGTTTTTAAACGTTTATATATTTTTGAGAGACAGACAGTGTGTGAGTGGGGGAGGGGCAGAGAGAGAGAGGAGGGAGGCACAGAATCGGAAGCAGGCTCCAGGCTCCGAGGAGCTGTCAGCGCAGAGCCCGACGCGGGGCTCGAACCCACGAACTGTGAGATCGTGACCTGAGCTGAGGTTGGACGCTCAACCAACTGAGCCCCCCCAGGTGCCCGAGTATCTATGCTTTTCTATATTCTTCTGGAAGACAACCTATTTAGAAACGGAAGCCATGTCCCAGGTGGTATTTTGCCTCTTCAACAGAACTGGGTGCAGAGTAGATGTTCAGGGAATATTTGCTGGAAAAAAACCAAACAATCCCATTCTCTTAGCATCTGGGCTGTATCAGCCCCCTTGGACCACCAGAGAGTTAGGACATTTATAATTCAGAATCCTGGGGGCAAATCCTGAATCGGCAATAACTTCTAGAGTCCAGAACCTTGTGAAATTCTGAGACCGCAGACTCAGGCCCACAGGAGATCCCAATAAATATTTATGGGGTGGACAAGGAGAAGGGGGTGTATGTGTGTCAAAATGGGTACACAGATGGGTGGGTGGGTGGGTGGGTGGACGGTTAGTTCAACTTACTCCTGGATCTCCTACCTCTGTACACTGGCCAGGGGCGGGGCGGAGGCGGGGCGCTGCTCTGCATTCCCCATTCCATCAAGGAGGCTTCTTTGGTCCTTTCTCAAAGAACAACAGATCCCCATAAGTTGGGCCATGGATGGGGAGGGCCTCCCAGAGAAGGCAACGTTCGTTCAAAGACCCAAAGCAGGTGATGAAGGAAACTGTGATGATCTGGGGAAAGAGTCTCCAGGCAGAGGAAACAGCCAGTGCAAAGGTCCTGAGGCAGGAGTGGGTGCCATGGAGGTACCCGGATTTCCCTTCTCACCTCCTTCTCTTTCTCTACCTTTGGTCCCCAGGATTACAAGAAATTCTGGGCAGGCCTCAAGGGTTGCACTCTCTATTTCTATAATAGCAATCGGGACTCCCAGGTAAGGAGGGGAATGAACTGGTCGCCCCCGCCTCCCCGCCCCCCTCCTTTGACCTCAGGGACCAAGCATAGAGGGCGGGTGTTTCGGCCAAGCCAGAGGGCCTGGGGAGCCACAAGCCTGGCGCTCAGACCCCTGCTTCCGGATCCCCAGCACGTGGAGAAGTTAGACCTAACGGCACTTGTGAAGCTCACAGATGACCCACCCTGGGGAAGCTCCCGAGACCCAGGCATCCATTTCAGCCTGGTCCTCCGGAACCAGGAGATCAAGTTCAAGGTAGGCCCCTCCCTCCTTGTCACACTTACCACTAACACACACTAGCAAGGAGTCGCACGGAGGCTACCGCTGGGTTGGCAACACTGGCCGAGTCACTTGACTTCTCTAGGCCTTGGGTTCTTCGCCTGCAAAATGGGACAGTACGTAGAGAGGAGCCAGAACAGCACGCGAGCCGCAAGGATGGAACCCCCCCTCCCCCCGCCCTCGTTCAACCTTGCAGCTAAGGTTATCGAGCGCCTCCCGCGTGCCAGACAGTCTCCTGGTTGCAGTGAACAGGACAGTTAAAACTCGTCACCGTTGTGGAGTTTGCAGTGGAGCGGGGGAGGCACACAGTACACAATACAAGTGCGTAAAACATATCTGGAGGGGCAGACGGCAGGAGACGCTTGGAAACAGTGCTAGGGCAAGGACAGAGCGCGCTCAGTGTTACCATGTTAAACAGGGCGACCGGGGAAAGCCTCACCGAGACCCGCAGGTGAGGGAACCGGCACGTAGATACCTGTGCAAAGGCTCTTGTGTGTCTGAAGAGCCGGGAGGAAGAAGAGGAAGAAGAGGAGGGGG